TCAAAGCTTGTGCTGCGAGGAGAGACAGCTCAGATGAGGTTTTTTTGATACAGAAGCAGATTGATTTGCAAGATTTTGCAGAACTGGCTGTGTTTGTGTGAAATTAGAGTGGGAAAACTAAGGAAGGCACCATTTTAGGTTATTTTATTTCTGCTACTGTAACATCACATCTAAAATAAATATGAAAAGTCAGAAAATAAAATCAAATGACAAATTTGGATCTATTACTAAAGGTGAAGATGTATACAATGGTTCAAAAACAACCCACTTTTTTTGCACATTGTACACAAATTCAGCCATTATCAGTTCAAATTTGAGAATGATCAGTTGTATGCCCCTGCAACTAAACATTTGCTCTTTTGTGTAGCTTTGACAAGATCTGAATTGCTAATAACTGAAAAATAAACAGATAATAACCATGATACAGTTCAATTTACTAAACATTTAGAATTGTATTGTTTTCACAAGTGTGTACAATAAAAATAATGAATGTTTTATTCAGCTTAATATTTTAGTTCATCACAGAAAGCAGCAAAATGTGTAAATATGTGAGAAATTTTAACGTGAAAACTGTTCAAGAGGTCAAAACTAATGAGGCATTGTCTGATACACATGAATGGTCTCTTTGTGTATCGGTTCTGGCATTACGTCATTGATTTGTGAAGATGTACCATGGTCTATAGCCCCCTCCAGTGGATAAAAATAACACCATAGAGGCAAACCAAGTTGTTAGTCATAGACACAACATCCCATGCTTGCACTTTCAGCAATTTACAGTATGTAAGAAATTTATAACCGATAGCATAACAAAATAAAAAGTTTTTATTTTGATGTCAATATTTCCAGTGTAAGTATCAGTAAATACTAGACTTGTGTATTTAAATCCAATTCTGACTGTATGCCAGGTATAAATCCATCTCGTGGTATAAAAAAGAAATGCAGCTGTAAAATGTCCTCACTGAGGGCCATTATAATTCTAAAGGGCACAGACTGAACCAACACAAGCAGTGCCAGATTATCATTTCAGAGACCCCCGGGCACAATGTGCTTTCAGCCCCCTGCCTTCATTTTTGGAATATTTGTTAATATTGTCAATTATACAGGATTTACTTCAGACCAAGACACTACACAGAGGGGTGTGACTTGCTTGATTTCATAAATACTCACTGCTTCTAATTTCCAGCAGGCCAGGACTACAATCAGTGCACAGACATTTTCGGGGGCAGGTGCTCAAATGGAAAAAGAGGGCACTTTGTCCGGTGCACAGAATCAGCAGCTGTCCTATTAATGTGACATTACAGACACGTCTTGTTACTTTGTGCATATTTATCTATTTTTAATCAGATTTTTTTTCTGTCTGATACAGATGTTTAATATTCAACTCTACAGGTTGGTTTCTGAAACAAAATGGCAACAACAGAACAAAAACTAGTAATGACAATTTTTGTAGTGTTTTTAAAATAACTATAATCAAGTTTATTTTCACAAAGTTACTAATGGCTTTTTTGTTCTATGGAGGATCTTCCTTCAGTCTCTCCATCATAGAGCTGTTTCCATGATCTGAGTTCTAACAATTCAGCTTCATCTGTGTCTGACGGAGGAGAAAACATAGAGCTGCTTCTCTGCTGTAGCTAAAACACCAACAATATGAAATGTGTTTATTTGGGTGAAACAACTTGGTGACAAAGTTCACCGCAATAAATTACAACATTTAAACTAATCAGACTCTAAATTACTGTCAAAATGTAACACTAACACAGGGGGTCGAATTCACAAGGGGGCGAAATTTCCACACTTAGTCCAGATCAAGAGCCAATTTCTGTTAATATTTATTGAAGCAAAAGCAAATTATTCTTATTGTACTAATTTTATTTTCCAAATTATGGTTTATGTTGCATTTAGAGCACACAAAACCTGAAAAAGAGATTAAATTTAAAAAGAACTCGTTAGCATTCATTATTCAATGTTTGACTTTAAAATGAAAAGAAAATACAGAAAAATAAAACTAAAGCTAATTCTCTTTCCACACCAAAATCAAAGAATACTGAAAATTTCAAACTTAATTTTATTAATATTTGCCTCATTACTCTTTACAGACAACAGGAAGTGAAGTTTAACTTCAGCATCTGAGGTTTAGGGGGTAAAAAGTGTGACCAGATCCTGTGGACCATCACAGTGGGTCATTTTAATATGGACACATTCATTCCTCTCTGCTTTGGCTGTTATTACACAACAATGTTTTTTAAAGGTTTTTAAGAAAAAAGGACATATTTTTATTAAAATTTATCAAAAAAATGCTTTGGTTAAAAATATTTTAATATTTTTTATTATGATAAAAAAACCATAAGCAGGTCAGATGATCTGTGCTGTTCTCTGTCCGTCCACAGACAGAGTTTTTGTGTGAATCTCTTTTACAGACAGAGTGTGTTTCCCTTCAGGAAAAAAAGGTTGGTCTCAAAAACTGTGACTTTTTGAGACCTCATATGAGGACACCTTTTTTTTTTTTTTTGCAAAAACTACTTCCTGTACTATGACAGAGTCTAGATATATTATATTTATAATCCCACTAATCCCATGGACCAATCAAATAAGCAAACACATTCACCTGTTAAGTTTTGCTGCAAAAACTGTGACTTTTTGAGACCTCATATGAGGACACCTTTTTTTTTTTTTTTGCAAAAACTACTTCCTGTACTATGACAGAGTCTAGATATTTTATTTATTAGGTCCCTCTAATTCCATGTATCTTAGAGAAATAAAAAAAATGCACATCCAGAAAAAGCTTGGGTCTCAGGAGGTTAAAGTGGAGCTTATTAAATTTGTTAATGTTTTCGAGCAGTAGGCAGTCACATACTGTAAAATCTGTTCATCTAATTGAGTCTTATGTATTTTTGAACATGTTTTGAGACTGATGTACTAAGCAAGATCAGAATATATGGGATTATTAATCTTGTTAGCCTGAGAAGTTTTCTTTATTTCAAGAAGTCCAAGTGCAACTGTCAAACTGCAGATTATTAATTATTATTAATTTGAAAAGATTCAGAGCATAATATAACATTTTAAACTTTTTTATGTTAATGTTTGCAGTGTCTGATTAGAAATCAGTGTTTACGGTTATTCTTTTTTCTTTGCATTAAAATATTACACAGTAAATATATTTATTTTATTTATGTATCAGATTATCCGTTTAAAAAGAATGATAAAAAATACTTAATCTCAGCTTTGCCTTATAAACAATCTCAGAGCCTGACATGCCTTTATGCCTTCTTTGTGCCTGCTGCAGCATGCAGGCACGCAGGTTCGTTCATACAAAATTTTTGACATCTGAGACAGTTTTTCAGCTATACAGCGGGTAAAATAAGTATTGAACACGTCACCATTTTTCTCAGTAAATATATTACTAGAG